GTCTAAACAGGGAACACTCTGGAAAGAAAAAAAGTCTTGAGTTTTCGTCCTTGCTCATTCACTTGCATCTTTCTTACACTCCTTTTTAGCCTTTATTTTTTATGGATGAACTTAATCGAGTTATTTAATGACTGAAGCTTTTGCTCACAGGCCTTACGTAATAATCCTGATAATTATTTTTTATCACACTCATTCATACATGCCTCCTGCCAACGTGCCTGAGGTGCTGCACAGACACTGCAAAACAGCACAAATTAAACATAACAAAAGAAAATCCAATGACGTATTTAGAAAGGCATGTATGATTTTAATGAGAAAGTCTGTTTTCAAACATGAGAAATTTCAAGGCAAAACCACTGCAAATACAGAGGGATTCCTGTGAGTTTCTTGCTACCAACCCTATCAAATGCACTTAGCTACAGCAGATGAAACCTTTGTTCATTTCCCTCCAGCTGGCATCTTCAGAACACTTTCCTCATTTTATTTAAAATATTTTTAGATTGTTTCTGGTTTGTATGTAACCTGGAAGATCTCTCTGTTTTGAGAGCTACAGAGCTATTATAATATGGTCATTTCTGGCTATCATCTTTAAAGCAGTTAAACTGACATCATGCCACATAAGATACCAAAACAATTGTTACTCTGTTACACAGAAAGGGAACTGAGACAGAAAGGACACTAAGCTTGCCAAGATCAAACAAAGCTTGTGAAATAAAAAGAATTTGCACTCAAGTTGTCCAAGTGACAGACTATCACCCCATCTAAGCTGCAGTATATCTTCAGCTGTCACTAAAACACATGAAACTTGGGGATTAAAATGCAAATAAGGAACACCTTAAGAAACAACACATGTGGACTTAAAGGCAAATATGACTGCATTTGTATCCAGTCCATGACTACATATATACAGATGCCTTTCAAAAACATCTACAGCATGTGCAAATGTTAAGGATCAATTTGATGAAATCTTTAAACTCTTAACTCCTGAATTTGCAAATTGCCTACTGTTTTAACATCCTTTTTTTTTTTTCCCCCGAGATTCTTAATATCTTGCCAGACAAGCTCTCCAAAACCTGAGTTTCCAAATATCTGTGCAGCTACTGAACTGCATGTAGTCTGCTTGTTAACAAGAAATGAAGCTGGAAGTTAAGTCACTGCTAATTAAACTCATAATTACAAGTGGAAGGTCAGACAGCAGATCCAAGGGCTGTATGAAAATGTAATAAAACAAAAGAAAGAACAAACTTGAATGCAATAATTCAGTCCTTACTTGGCAGACTGACCCATTAGAAGACTTCTCAGCTGTATACAGTTCTGAAGGCAAATATTAGAATAATGAATGCAAATCACTTCGGTTTAAACAAGTTTGTCAAGGATTAGCACAGCCTCTAAACATTACTTGGGTTTCTATTGAAAAAAAAATCAAACCAAACAAAAAACAACCAACCAACCAAACAAAAAAAAATTAGAAAGATAAAAGGAAAAAACAACCCACAACAATTAAGAATTGCCCATTTACAAAGTTAGAACATGAATCACGGCTTCCTAGCCTGAGCTCCCAAGTGGCTGCCACTAGCACATCCTCACAAAATGCCTTCTTTGTTGGAAATGGGTAACATCTCATTCCTCTGCTCCTGTGCAGTTCAGAAATCTGCTTCAGAGTTCACTGCTCTGCCTGTGAATCTCCATGAACACAGAAATCCAGAGGTAAACCACTGTATTGCCTTTATTCCCTTGTTGTAAGGTTGAAGCAGACAGAAGATGGGAAGATCACAAGGTAATTTAGGCAGATGGCTCAGAGCAGCAGTATTAAAAGAGCAAAGGTTCGCAGAAGTACCAACTACTAGCAACTGGAAAGTGGCTGCAGGACAGCCAAGGAAGCTTCACACTATTTTCTGCTTTCCTTGATCTCCTGAAAAGCCAGAGCTTTTGATATGGGTCTCAAACTCCACGTTCTGACCTTCCCCACTGCTCTGTCACACTGGGACGAGTGATGGGCACACAAAGACACGTGAGGAGCAAGGCAGCACATGCAGCCGTGCCAGACCAGAAAGCCAGTACTTCTCCCAACACTATCCCAGTTGTGAAGAAGCCCTTGGGGGTTTGGGAAAATCCAAGGAGAAGGATTTTTTTTCTTTCCAGGATTGGCACGTTTCCAACACAGGATCTGGACACCTTGACAGCACAGCACTTACTAACCCATTTGGAATTTAGGAAGCTTCTGTTAGGAAATACAGAAACACAGGCAGCATACCAAAAGTGCTTCCTGACATGGCTCCTGCTTTGGGTATTTCACCTTTCTGTGAGCCATAGGCTGTCCCTGAGATTCATGGCAGGGTGGAAATGCCTTGTGAGATTTTCCAATTCCAAATTAAAAAAAAAAAAAGATTCCCTCATGAGCAGGCTTTCATCTGACATGCTAATTCTAAAAATCTGCCTTCCAACTGTTCAACTTTGCTTCAGTGAATGCCTCACCGAGCCCTTTCTAATAAATATCATTTATGATTTCTGTAACACACTTGTTTCACAGTGAAACTGTGGAGGTAATGACGACTGGGTTGATTGACACCTAGTTATTCAATCAAACATATTCCTATCCTGCTAGTCACAGACCACACATGCCAAATTTGATGCTGAAACAACTTTTATCAAGCATTTTGGAGAGGGCTTGGGAAGAAAATCAGCCTTGTAATCAAAATCTTAACTATGTTGCAGCTACTGCGGCAACATAATCCTATTTTCTGTCCTGCTGGCAATTTAGTAGCAGCAGTGCAGAACACCAGAGAACTTCTCTATGGAGGGAGAGATAACAGCACACGTTTACCGAGAGGATGGGGGCTTGGTTTCTTAACAATGGAAGTATACACAGGTGTATTTGGCAGTTCTCAGTTGGTGGGCAAATTTTTATCTATAGCTTATTGTGCCTCTTTGGGTGGGAAAAATGGATTTCACAGAAGTATTCTTTTCTGGGTCCCTGAAAGATATGTGGGCAAGACGAGTGGCAGATTTAGAAAGGCAAAAATAGACACCATCATACAATGCAGAAGATAAGTAGTACTGGGAGCCAAGACATCGGGCCACGATGCATCTTGTAAAGCAGTAATTTACCTTCTGAGGAAAAATATTTGTTCTAAACCTGACACAATGTTTAATAAGATATTCTTCCTAAATTGTGGGGACATGAAAATACCTTCATCATAGATTAGAAATTAAGGCTCAACAGAGCTTCTGGAGAATCTATTTCTTTAGTCCATATCCTCTTCCCTAAGGCACTACTAAGCTTCTCTCTCTCCCCCCCCTCAGATTCCTCACTGAATTTCACCCCAATTTTTGTACTCCTCTGAACTGTGCTGAGTTTTGGGAGGTGCTCAGTAGACCAAATGGACAACTTCTTCAGACATGAAAGAACTAGAACTTTCAGATTTTTTTTAGAAGATCATTTATTCAAGCTTTCTGGATGGCTACTTGTGTCTTGGATTTCAAGAGCAAATTCTTCATTGAACTTAAACCTTATTCCCATTACAGCCAGATCTCACAGATACTCTGTGGTAGTTTTACTCTATTTAGCTTCCCACGTAATTTCCAAAAATTACTTGCAGTTCCTACTTCTATTACTGTTAAACCCCACTTATTTTGGTAATACTAACAGAAAATTAATTTATAACAAAGCTTGTTATGGTTTTGGGCTGGTTTTATTATTATTATTGTAACTTTATATCCTACAAAGCATTATATTACCTGCAAGTACACATTGGCAAATTTAACACTGGAAATGCTATTAAACTCATGTTTATGAGAAATACACTTATTTATATCCTTCTGTGCAGATACCAAAGAGAAGGCAAAAGCTGTTTCTTGAATGCCAGCCTCACCTACATGCCAATTCCTCCGTTTCAGGAGCAAACCACAAACATTACAGTCTCAGTTTTGCAACCCCAGAACAGACTGACAGGGTAACTGTGTCACTCTCTAGCACCTAAAATCCTTGGCTTAGCATCTTGCAGGAGAGCCTGTGTAGCACTACCCATCCTCTGGCCACCTCACCATTCCATTGCCATCAGATCAAATCTGAGATATCAGGTACTAATCCTGTCAGCACTGACTGTGGATCAACGACCCTCCCAGTACTCCATGTCAGTGTGAAGGTGGAAATTTTGTCCATGTTTTAAGAGGAAAAAATAAAAACATACTTTATCCTTTAAATTTGCTGAAGGAAAACAAATTACACATAGACAAATTGCCACCAATCAACCAGCAGCTCTCTGTAGCTGCTCAGAGGCCTGGTTTGTTGAAAATATTCTCATTGGGTATGGATTAGCAAGCTAACAGCAGGGGAAAGAAGTCAAAGGTGCAAGATAAATTGTGTTTGTTACAGAAGCTGTAATTTATCATCACAATATTGCCAACACAATTGTAGAGAATTATATATAAATTTAATAAAACAACTGCTGTATTACATCTATTATCCTGGAGTCAGGTTTGGTTATCTTTTCCTCCTTGAGAAGATTTTTCTGCAAATAATGCCACTGAATCTGGCCATTTATATTTTAAAAGACTGTCTGTATTACCTTATGTGCAAATAATAGTATAAACTACAGCATATATCAAAATACTGAGAACATAAAATTACACATTGAGGAAGTGAAATCTTATATAGTTCCCTAGAGGTGGCAGTTCCCTCTGATGTTCAACAAAGAAATAGAGACAGCTGAAGCAGTGAGAGCTCTTGTTAAACAAAATATGTATAAACCTGAAAGACCTCTCTTCTGCAAAAATACACAGTTAAAGCGCCATTGTTCCCCTTCATGCACCTGTCAAAACTGCTTGGGGGATGTTGAAGTGAAGGTGAAGATGGGGGAAGAAGAAAAAAACAGCCACTGCAAATAAGCAGAGTATTTTATTAGAAAGTTATCTCCTTTTTGCAAGAATGGGTGCTGAAATGGATAATACCTTTCTGTGAAATCCAGGTTTCCAGCTTCATGTTAAGAAGAGGCTCTTACCTTATGGGATTATCCATCCTTGATACTGTGAGAAAAGCTGCTAAGTTTGCTGTGTAGGAAGAGCACACGATAAGGGTGAAGAGCCACCAGCTTCCCATTACAATGCGCATAGCTACAGAATTTACAGGAGATTCTCCCCCTACAAATAAACAGAGAAAATGAGGGTGTCTCAGCAGCTTCCATTTACGATCACTCACTCTCTGCCCTATTATGTTACATGTTTTGGAGCTACCTCTCTGCATTTCTGGTTCTCCTCCAGACCGCCCTTTCACTGTGAGAAAACCACTGCTTCCATGTAGACTGGTAATTTACAAACATTTTCTCCAGTCAGTCTCTTGCCCTGGCTACTGTTCTGGAAAATCATCTTTCAAAGTATTTCCCTTGGGAATTTTTTAGGATCAAACCTACAGGACATGAAAAATGTTCTAAATAGAGTAAGTTTAATGGTGAAGCACAATTAATAGGCAGGAATTAAATCATTACAGTGTTCAGAATATAGTAATATTCTATTTCCAATGACCATTTCAGATTTGGAAAAAACCCACAAAGCTGTCCAACGGCTTGTGTGTTATCTGTGCTGTATTTAAATCTGCAAAGACTGAAGCATTAGTGTCATTACTTGTTACTCTATACAATATTTTAAAAAATGTGAAGATTTCTTTCTAGCAGGTTTCAAGCACATTATGCTTGAACATTGTTGGAGACTAGGTCTTACCATACAGCTAGCACTAGTCACTTCAGCATATGTTTGTGCTGATCGTATCTTACTACACTTAAACCCAACCAGGATGCCACCTTAATAAGACGAGAGACCAAGTTTCATAGCACTAGTAAGGATTTTTCAGCTGAAGCTTTATAAGCTTCCAATCACAATGAAAAAATGTAGAAAAAATTAATAACCTACCCATATGCTATCATTCAACAAAACCTGCCTTCCAAGAATAGCACTAAATTATAGATATGGGGCAAAAACTGTGTGAGCAGATTTTGCAAACAATTATTTACAAAAGTAACTTTGTTAATGATAGTAATCCTACTGAATTCAATAGGATTAGTCCTATGCGTAGAGATTGCTGAGTGTAAAGTTAGCTTCACAACTACGGATCATTTCCCTATTCACTTCAAAGAACACACTACAAAAAAAAAAAGTCTCACATTAGTTCAAAAACACATAAACTTCTAAAATTAAATTTAAGCAGTTAGGGAAGATGCTAGCCTCAGAGTTTGAAAAGCAATTCTGCAACAAGCAGCTCTGTAGTTTATCACGTGATAATTTTCCCAAAGTGGGAAAGCCTGCTAGGAGTGTTTTTTCTGGACTTACTGAGAGACAGAAAAGGAGAACATACTGCTTCCCCCACCTCAAAACTTACCTACCTCTTCTCATTTTTCATTAGCTGGGCTAATAAAACACGTTACATCCCTGCACGCGCCTTCTCTTTGATCTTTAGACCATTCTGGCCAAGACTAACATGTCCTGAGCTGCTTTACCCAAGGCTGAACTTTTCTGAACTTAAATCAGAGGCGTTTATAAAAGTGAGTACCTTGCTGAACAAAGGCGCCGTAAACAACCCAGATGGCACTGTGGAGGGTAGAGGAAGCAGAAGGGCTCGGCTGGGAAGCATTCTGCGCCCTGACTGCCTGGATCCGGTTCAAGACAAATATCAAGACACCAACTATAGGGATGGCTGCAGCAATGCAAGCCCACACCGCAAAGTCGAAAGGAGCAAAGAGAGAGAAGATGTTGATTTTCTCTTCAGGCTTTTTGATTAAGATCCCCACGGAATAGTCCATGTACCGCTTGCTGAAGTCCACAACACTCTCTCGTTCTGGTGTTATAGTGATGGCTGAGATGGCTAGGTCTGCTCTCTGTGAGACAAACGCAACAGATCAGATCTCTTCCTTTCACCATGAATTTGGCCAGCGTGAGCTTTAAGGAGAAACATTTTACGAACCAAGTGACTCCATGCATTTTTTTCTATAACTTAGAAGAAATTTAAATAAATTGCCTAAAAATAAAACCACAATCAGTTTTATAATTTGAACATTGGTTAATTGCTGTGGTCTAAAGCAGAGTACTGAAAAATAATATGTCACTATCTGGAACAAAAAGCATCACTCTGATTCCTCTCTGGAATGAGTACAACTTATTTCACCTTTATTTCTCATTTGTTTTCCAGAGGATGCCTAAAATTCCATACCATATAAAGCTGGTGCACTGCAAGCTGTAAGAAACATCATTTATTTAGCTTGAGTATTTGATAGCAAAGTGCAAAGAGCTAAGGTTTGTTGTTCTCCCTGCAGAACTGCCTACTTCATATTTATGATGGGATTTCATATGACAACTGGGGGGGGCAGATTTTGTTGGTTTTTTTTTTACGATGAATAAAGTGATTGCATAAACTAGTAATTGGAAGAATGTATCAAAGGCAACTTAGCACCTGAAACTGCTTTGACCTCAACATTTAAAGCAGTTAGGTTTTACATGTAGAGGGTCATTAAAGAGTATGCAAACTCAATGACAGCTAAAACAGGAGTTAGTAAATAAGATTCCCAAAGCTTTTGAAGAGCTGCAATTATATCATGAATAATGTTCCGTTTTAATAAAAAGAATTCTCTTAGAAAAAAAAATAGAATGTGCTTTTTGTTTCCTATCTCTACCTTTTGTTTGGAAAATAAAGCAAATGTTAGATGAGGGAGGTCTGCTTTGAAATCCTTTGGAGTCAGTGGAAAACCTAGTAGCAGAAATAATTTTAAAAATACTATCATAGATACTTTGTTGCTTCAAAGAAAGCAATTTCCAGAGAAATTTAACAGGATTTCTTACCCCATTTTCAAATCAATAAGATTCAAACAGCTTATGTCAATGCAAAGTAAGTAAAAATTTCTCTATACTACCTAGCACCAACCAAGAATATCCCATTATCGAACACACATTTCCTACAGTTTTAATTGCTTTTATTTCTTCCTAAACAACTACTTACAAAATACTGAGCTGCCTACATACTAGTTAATGAGAAAGCTTTCATTTTCAGTAATAACTCCACTGCAGAAGAGTAACCTTTTCTACAAAGGGCAGCCACATAGAATATTAATTCCTTTGGTTCTCCTTTTTATTAACATTTGTCCCATACCAGATAGCAAGAACATGAACCAAATATGCTCTAATTTCATTCTCTGGGAAATTCTAAGCTAGGAATTTTCCCCATTTACTTCAATGGAGTTCACACTCCTGATTTGAAAGGCTGTAATTAAGAGAAGAAATTTGGTCCTCTCTGTTTTAAATGAATGAATAATCTTGAGATCAGTTTAAATGCTGGTCCTTCAAAACACTTCTTTATGGTATATTACATGGGGCACTTTTCCTGTTTTGGAGTCAGGCAGCTGGTAATTATCACATTGCCACAAAGTGACCCAAAGCAAGTCACACCTACAAACAAGCAGCAAAGACATAATGACAAAAATGAAAATAACAACATTTTAAGAAGAATATATTATTTTTAGTCTTAACTCACACACACATACATGTCCTTTCTTATTCTTACAGCTATGTAAAAACAGAGATTTACGCTGATAAAATTGATGTTGAGTTGGAAGTAAACAGAACAACAGACTTTCTAGTTCTTACCCTGTATACAGTTCACACTACACTCAAACCACCCATGGCTCTGAAGTGTTCTGCATTTGTGCTTTGATCCTAATTCATTCTCTCAGAGTTTGGAAGATTACAAAGCTTTGACACCCTACTCCATAGAGATGGGGGGGGAAGGGTTATTGTTTTTGTTGTTCTTTGTTTTAAATGCAGATTCTTTTTCTGTGTACCTTGTTAATTAGTTCTCCAATCATGCCATTCCAGGAGCTGTTTTGGAGCTGCTGTCCATATTTGCCATCAGGAGCCTGATATATCTCATACTTGAAGCCCAGATTCTTGGCAAGTGCATCCAGGACATCAATGGAAAATCCTTTATATCGTTTTGGTTGCCCAAGAATGTTCTCTGCCACCATCACAAAAGGTTCTTCCTGAGAATAAAAGAGTATCTTAACTGATAATAGAAACAAGATTTTCAGTTTGCTTCTCTTAGTAAAAGAATGTTTCCTGAGTTAACTCTGGACAGCTTGGTACAGATTTTGAGACAAAAACTGTAGGCCATGAGGGATACTGTGTGGCATCCCAACTAGACACTAGTGTCTCAGCACCTGAGTCCTATCTGTAGCCTTGTGTTTTCCATAGCTCTTGAGAAGAGGCAGAGACTCCAGAAAATAATTCAACATCCTCTAGCAGCTTCCGGGTGCCTGAAGTACCTGCCTCTTCTCACCAGCTATAAAAAGGCAACAGACACCTACCTTACTGTCCTAACTAGCTGTCTAGAATATAGGTATTAAGCTGTCTAGAATATAGCTATTGTTAAGAACACAAGTCCAAGATAGGAACATTACTGTCCATCTATCTCAGTCCATATTAGATTTAGAAAGCCATTTTTTACAGATAATGATTAGTCCAGGAGACATACTAAAACAAAATTTAATGAATGCTGCATAAAATGAATATTTTAAATTGTGAAAATTCAAAGAATAACCTTCACAGGTACTGGTCCTGGAGTATTTTAAATTAAAGTACGTTTTGGGACGACCAAGGAAATGCAGCATTTTGTGTTATGTTTTCTGTCAGGTGTGGGCATCCTGTTCTCCTGCAGGGGAACTCAAGGGCTGCCCGCAGCACAAGGCTGGCTGCCTTTGAAACCTGATACTGATATTCTTATGGAAGGGATCTGCTCACCTCCCATGTAAACTGCAGCACAATCTCGCCTGTCACCAGGTAAAGCAAAGAGAACTGGGGGTTGGAGGAAGACCCTTAATGACCTTATGCGGTACTTCTTATTTGTACCATGATTCAGAAAAAGAGAAATTAAAAAAACCCACACATAGGAAAACCTCAAACCCACAGCAAAAAAACAACCAACCAACCAACCAACCAACCAACCAAAACCAAACCAAACCAAAAAAAACAAAACAAAAGCAAAACAAAAAAACCCCAACCAAACAAAAACCAACCAAAAGACCCCATTCTGCAATCTGCAAACAGCAATATTTTAGGCAGGAATGCAGCCAAGCCCCAGTTTGCCCCTAATTTAGCACTTAGCTGAGAAGAGCTCTGTTACCACTCTGGATACTAACAGACAGTCCCAAAAGTGTAATGATTTTTTGGAAAGACTATGCCTTTCTAAAAGATATAGTTTATCTCAATGGGAATTTATGAGCTTGATGGAGGAAACACTTGATTAAATTTTACAGCCTGCAGCATACAAGAGCCAAGATTAGATTATCATAATTGGCCCATCTGATCTTAAAATCCAGGAAATGCTGGAAAGTGCATATCTGAGTTAGAGTACAGTATCTGGAATGCGCCCCTGGGCACTCGGGCTGCGTGCTGGTTTCATGCCCAGTAAGAATTACAATGCAGAAAACCAGCATAAGCAAACAAACAAATGCTCTGTATCTCTAACAGTGCACAGCTTCACATAAAATAATAAAAGGCCATCATGTATCTTCCTTGTTTATGTAACTGATCATCCAAAAATACAGTACTGAAAATTATAGGGAAAAATACTGTGGGAAATGCTCAAAATACTCAGGTCCTTTTTAATTTGAGAATTTTGTTTCCGGAACTCAAACAGGATCATACCAAGACAGTAACCACTTTGAGTGTCAATCCTTGTAAGTCATTGCCCAGACGTCGTTCTTGTAGGCTACCATTCAGTCCTTTCTCAGAGTCCCACGTTGCCAACTAGAACAGAAAGTATAGTGAGTATGAAGGACTATTATGCAGAAATCTTTTAGTATTTATATAAACACTTAACAGTAGCTCGACTGAAATAGGATGAGAGATGTGTGGCTTTTTTTAATGCAGAGTTAGAATTAGTTAGATTCAGAGGACAAACATATACAAGTACCTTGCCCGAATGTATTTTCATCAATGCCTGTAACAGAACAGCTCTATTACTTGTAGTATTTGTCATATTATTTCACTTAGATCCCTCTGATACGACATTTCTCTCCAGAGTGTTTATATTGTCTGACAACCCTCAGGAATATCTGTGAACTCACTATCCCATATTTCCCTCTCTGCTCAGATCCTCTCCTACTTTTCAAATCACTCTCTTATTATTAAAAACTAACCATTTTTTGCTGCTGCACAACATTGTCACTCACGGATAGTCGTAAAGTCTTGACACGGATTCTGTGGTGTCAAACTGTCTCCTCTCTCCCTCGGACTTAGAATCATAAAATCATAGAATTGCTTCAGATCCTATCTTAAGTCCTGTTTTCTCTGTTCTTGCCCTATCTCTGCCTCATCAGTAAAACAATAACAGGCTCCTGATGATAAAATAATCTTACATATACCAGTACTTTATGCATCTGCTAGAGGTACCTGAACACATAATTTCAGGATATATCCCTGGAACATTACATCTAAATATTTTATTTTTTTCAACTAAATATATTGCTTTAAAAATCAGTTTTACTGCATTTTCTGAAGAAAAAATGCAGTAAAATTCAATAGAATAGGTTCAGTAGAAAAGTCATTCTTGAGTGACCTTTGCATTATTCAAACTAAATATGCTGTTCAGCAGCAACAGCTGTCAGACACTCCTTTTGCCTTCAAACAGAATCCATGGTGTCGTTTTGTTCAGAAGAGTCATAAATAATATCAAGCAGAAACTGTTTCCTGCTTTTTTTCTTTTTTTTTTCTGGCTTTACACCAATACTATGCTCACATATGTGGAAGCAGTGTTGTTAGCTGAAGGCACGCCCTGTAGAAATTAAACACAGTCCAAGATCTGTGAAATGTGGCTTCATCCTGCCAGAAGCTAATTTTCATGTAACAAGTCAAAACCTTCTTGGAAAGAACTTATTTCGCTGAAAATGCCTATGGCTACACGTCCTACATGATTTATTTCTATGACTTCAGTTTTAACCTAAAGCCTCAAAAATGAAACCAACAAATAAAATGTGACGGGAGAGATCTGTATAGTTTTATTTTTGTTTTGTTGCACTAAACTGATAAACAGAGAACTAAAAAAGAACAGAACAGTCAGTAAGTATTTGGCCATCATAACTATCACGACTGATGAAAATTATTCTATACTCACTAAATCTTCAAAGCTGAGAACACAGGAAAGAATTAAGCTATACCTCCTTTTAAACCAGATGTTCTAGGGGATGGAGGAAGAGAATGAATGAATAAATAATATTCGGCTTTCTAATGACAATCCTGAATACCGAAGTATCTCAGACTGAAAACTCTCCCCCTGTGATGACAGTTTGGAGTGAAAGATGAGCATCCAAACATTAAAGTGTCTGTATCAATACAGGTAGATACCTATAGCCATTGTATCTTTTAAATCTGAATTTAAATGCTGGCTATAAAATATGTCCAGATGTTTCTTAGATTTTGCTATTGCCAAACCAAATTAATAAATTTGTAATCTGACATAAATCACTGTGGTTCAACAGACTTCAAACACCAACATGAGTGTGTGTGGCATATATTTTGTCCAAATCTGTAAAAGAAAATTCACTCTCCAAGCCTTTTCAGCTATCATGTCCAGCAAGTACATGATAAAGATGCATGAAAGGTTTTGGCCAAAATAGCTTCCGCAAGCTACAGATGGTGATTAATTTTTTATTTAAAAATGGGAAATGTAACACATTCATTTATTACTTCACCACTGATGGACTAGCATTTCAATTCTTTCTCCCACTCCTTTTGCTTTCAAAAACTATCTGGTTTCATATCAAGGCCTTTGACTTCCTGAATACCCTACATTTTACATTCTGCATTAACTCTAAAAATTCCAAAAAGGAAACGGAGACATGCCAGTGGAAAGCCATAAATATATTCCTTTTATTCAAAAGGAGCAAGACAAAGATTCCTCTTTTATGTAGTAAGGTGTAAGTGCAAGGAAAAGGACCATATTTCAATGAAACACAGAATTCCATAGTGTTCTCTGTGGAGGCACAGACATTTCAGTCTCTAAAAAAAGCAAACTATGCACATAAAGTCGGTAAATGGAACATGAGAAAAATCATTTCCAGAAGGGATTTTTCCTGTGTGTCCTTGTGCTTCAGAACATTTCATTTGTTCAGAAGTGTGCCAATTTTAACTTCCACATCTTGCAGACAGAATTTTGTTTATAGGACCAATGTATTTACAGATATAGCTATCAATTTCAGACAGCTGATCTGTCAAGTTCAACTGATTTCCAGCACTGTTAAACACAATGAGTACTGCTGTTAAGGCTGTTGGAGTTTCATTCTTTGGAGAAATATGTACCAAGCTCCTACCAGAAGTCTGAAGCCAAAGGCTGTAGCACAGCCATAAGCTAATAGGAGAAAAAGGGCTTTTAGATCTCATTACGACAAACAATTACTCGAAGAATTAGCACTTGTGTCATGCATTTAAAAAATCTGGAACAAATATGTAATGGCAGCCTGGGTGTTTGGGTTCTTGTTTTTTATTTTTAAGTTATTCAGTTCTGGGCGTTAAAGTTTTGAAAACAGCTACTTTATTAAAGCCTTTCAACTTAAACTTTCTTCCTAACTTCTCTTTCTGAAACAGACATATTGCAGGGAATCATACAGTTCTAGCCATACATCAGAAGCTCACTCATCCAATAAAGACAAACCAGAGGAAACAAATGTGAAATTCAGACAAAAAGGTTATTTGTTGGAAAATTCTGACTGATCTGATTCTGAAAGACCTGACTGATCTTTATCAATATTTACTGTGTTTTCAACCAGAACTGCAGTCACAATTTTATCATAGTTTTTAACCTTTACAAGCGATTTGTATCTCCAAACACAACTACTCAACACACAAGCAAAAGAATTACATGGCTAGACAAACTAGGAACGTCCAATGATAAATTATGTCATCCAAACCAAAGTATGACTCTCAAACCTGCTGGTCAGGACTTTGTACTGATACGTGTCAGGAACTTCAAAGAAAAACTGATGTCAATGTAACTTCAGGGTTCCTGAGTTCCCATCAAAAAAACTAGAAGTCAAATTTTTTTCAAAGGACTTTCATAGCTTCATTAAGGATGCAGCTGCTGGATGCCCAACACTTACTTGAGTGATTAGCTCCCCAGGGGAAATCATATTGAGATGTCACGGTAAAGTCACACTAGAGAATATCAGAAAGAACTCTGCAGAAGTGTGAATACCCTCATCAGCACAATGAGGCAATCCTTCTGCTTAAACAAATCAAGGCTGCATTAAGCACTGATTTGCAAGATTTAATACCTCCTGTGAATTTGATCAATTAGATTGAGATCCTGCATGCCAGTTCCTTTAGGAGATTAAACTGATGATCAACTCAGTTATTTGTTACACATCTGTTTGTCTGCAAAGTCTGCACGTTCATACTACTCTACTACACAATAATTAAATATTCGTTGAATCAGGAACTTAAATTTAGTTTTCCTAACTCTGCTGTGAATGTTCACACCACTGGACTATGGCAAACATCTTAGGCCCAAAACAAATGGAGATGAAAATTATCCCAAACTACTAGTAAACTCATGAAAATTGACATTACCATAAAAAGTTGATATTTAATGATTCTATCATAACAGTGAATGAGATCATCTACACTGTTTTAGTTTATGGTGCAGTAGTTACTGTCTAAAAAACCATGTCACTGCTATCTAGTGTCATTGTAAATATGATATCATGTTAAACATGATCTATTTTTCAGGGAAAATCTGATTCCCATGAGAAACAAAATGCGATAGTTTTCAGCAGATGTATAGTAATGTTTGAAAGTGCTACACTCAATCCAGAAAATGCACCTTCTATTTTACCAAAATCCAAATGCTTTTATGTGCTGACTCCTTTGGAGCTAAGGTTACACTTTCCAAAGAAATGAAGTTCGGGATTTCCAGCCTTGAAACCTGATAAACATCTAACAGTCAGGAAACTGAAGAGAATGCAAGGTAGTTCTCATGCCAGGAGACAGAGACACCTATATCAGGCCAGAGCACATTTTCTATGAATATGAAAGCTGTTTTGTATATGGACTTAAATAAATTAATTTATGCCACTCACAGTCTGATAATGGTTTTAGATTAAAGTTGAATTGAAACAGATTTCACTTCATTGACAACTTCTTTCTTAAACTTAAAGTCAACATAGCATATATCAAATACGGCGTCCTTGTACCATCTATGCTTTGTGCGTTGGGCCCTCACTCCCTTTGCTGGTCTTGCAATATGGCTAAACACTTACTGAAACATTTAACATTGTAAAAGCAGATTTTAAGCAAACATGGTAATAAAAAATACCAAACAAAATGTGAAAAAGGAAATTAATGTTTACAAGAGACAAATATGAAATAAGGTAGTGGCCCATTAAATAAATGGAGCAAACTGGACACTCCTCTGTTGCAGTTTTAAGGAATAAAAGGAATTCTATTTAAATATAAGAAAACAAAAATTTATATTTAACAATTCTTTTTTAAATGCAGTATATCAATAATCTAAAGAATTTCCTGTCATTCAATATTCACAATAAGGTATTAGTAGGACTCACACATTGGATTAAGTGTCATTCTTGAGGAACTGACATGATTCCCTGAAACATAATTTGCATTTTTATGACTGGGGTTGCCTTGATGTTATCAAAATCTTTTAATTTGAAATATGGGATCATAATTAAGAAAAAACCCCCAATCAAACGTTTTGGACTGTGTATTTGTGTAATCTGTAGTTACATAAAACAGGA